TTCCATATGAAAAGTTAGGTAGCCAATCACAGGTAGGTAAACTAAGCACGAACAAACGACCCTACGAACACAAGGTGAGCGCTGTATCCACTAAACCACCGCACCCTTTGAGTCTTTAATAATATATAAAATGAAAACGATGGGGCTACTGAGACTCAGGACCCTAGCAACAGTAACAAGGGTGAGCAAGAATATTATACAGTGTCATGGCTGCGTTATTTCGCCCTTTAGAAAACATCCCTTGAAACGAAACAAATCCCCCCCCCCTTCAAAAAAAAAAATTAAACAAAATCACGAGAAAAGTTAATCCCAATCCCCATGAAAATCCCTTTAATAGTGAAAGGTGATTACATTTGATTAATTAGTGTAAAAAGAACAGGTACGTCAGGTGATGGTATAAGAAATGGTAAGATTCTAAATGTTGTAAGTAACACACTCGGTCTTAAACACACAACAAGAGACGAAACAAAACTTAGATAATATTTATAATCAATTCTCAAGAGTTTTTCTTTTTTTTTTCATTGCTATTATTATTTATTTTTACATAATGTGTGTAGGTGATGCTGGACTGTGTGAAAGTGGGAAAGTAAATTTGAGTAAATTATTTAGGAACTAATAAAGGAAGCACACACACACAACCAAACACACACACACACACACACACACACACACACACACACACACACACACACACACACACACACACAACCACACACACACACACACACACACACACACACACACACACACACACACACACACACACACACACACACACACACACACACACACACACACACCGTTCTGTTACTGATGTTCTAAATTTAACATCGCTGGCAGGAAGCGAAACTAATAAAAAAATTAGTTTCGCTTCCTGCCAGTTGTTGAGAATCCATGCGATGTTATTGTTTATCCAAAGAACTTTAATTACCTTGTTGTTATTACTCGTAGTTACATTGGCACTAGTTTGTTATGTCATGTTGGCTCTGAACATAACGAAGCTAAATATGTTCTCACCAAGGCAGTCTATGAGGTGTACACAAGGTTAGGGTCTCAATCAATGGGAGAGTTAAAACCGTTTACATTGCTGATGTTGTCTGAGTAATGAAAGTCCCATCCATGTCCGAATGTTTGATGGCAGATTAACAACATTGCGTCACATACAGGTCCCATGTCCGAATGTTTGGTGGCAGATTAACAACATTGCGTCACATACAGGTCCCATGTCCGAATGTTTGGTGGCAGATTAACAACATTGCATCACATACAGGTCCCATGTCCGAATGTTTGGTGGCAGATTAACAACATTGCATCACATACAGGTCCCATGTCCGAATGTTTGGTGGCAGATTAACAACATTGCATCACATACAGGTCCCATGTCCGAATGTTTGGTGGCAGATTAACAACATTGCACATACAGGTCCCATGTCCGAATGTTTGGCAGATTAACAACATTGCGTCACATACAGGTCCCATGTCCGAATGTTTGGTGGCAGATTAACAACATTGCATCACATACAGGTCCCATGTCCAATGTTTGGTGGCAGATTAACAACATTGCATCACATACAGGTCCCATGTCCGAATGTTTGGTGGCAGATTAACAACATTGCACATACAGGTCCCATGTCCGAATGTTTGATGGCAGATTAACAACATGCATCACATACAGGTCCCATGTCCGAATGTTTGATGGCAGATTAACAACATTGCATCACACAGGTCCCATGTCCGAATGTTTGGTGGCAGATTAACAACATTGCGTCACATACAGGTCCCATGTCCGAATGTTTGGTGGCAGATTAACAACATTGCATCACATACAGGTCCCATGTCCGAATGTTTGGTGGCAGATTAACAACATTGCATCACATACAGGTCCCATGTCCGAATGTTTGGTGGCAGATTAACAACATTGCATCACATACAGGTCCCATGTCCGAATGTTTGGGCAGATTAACAACATTGCATCACATACAGGTCCCATGCATCCCATGCAAAGATTAACAACATTGCATCACATACAGGTCCCATGTCCGAATGTTTGGTGGCAGATTAACAACATTGCATCACATACAGGTCCCATGTCCGTATGTTTGGTGGCAGATTAACAACATTGCATCACATAGGTCCCATGTCCGAATGTTTGGTGGCAGATTAACAACATTGCATCACATACAGGTCCCATGTCCGAATGTTTGGTGGCAGATTAACAACATTGCATCACATACAGGTCCCATGTCCGAATGTTTGGTGGCAGATTAACAACATTGCATCACATACAGGTCCCATGTCCGAATGTTTGGTGGCAGATTAACAACATTGCATCACATACAGGTCCCATGTCCGAATGTTTGGTGGCAGATTAACAACATTGCGTCACATACAGGTCCCATGTCCGAATGTTTGGTGGCAGATTAACAACATTGCATCACATACAGGTCCCATGTCCGAATGTTTGGTGGCAGATTAACAACATTGCATCACATACAGGTCCCATGTCCGAATGTTTCCCATGTCCGAATGTTTGGTGGCAGATTAACAACATTGCATCACATACAGGTCCCATGTCCGAATGTTTGATGGCAGATTAACAACATTGCGTCACATACAGGTCCCATGTCCGAATGTTTGGTGTCAGATTAACAACATTGCATCACATACAGGTCCCATGTCCGAATGTTTGGTGGCAGATTAACAACATTGCATCACATACAGGTCCCATGTTTGAATGTTTGGTGGCAGATTAACAACATTGCATCACATACAGGTCCCATGTCCGAATGTTTGGTGGCAGATTAACAGCATAGCATCACATACAGAAAGCTGGGGACTTAATGAACCATATCACTATACATAGATGCAAACCAAAACAAGAACATATATGAAACGCGTCAAGGGGTAATTGTTGTACTGGCGCCCACAACAACCAAGATGATAAATTATAGTCTACTGAGTATAATGGTAGTTGGGTTGATGATAGTGATACCTATAATGGTTATACTAATGGTAACAATGGGACTAATAACATTGGTGGTGTCCTGGGTATATATATATATATAGAGAGAGACCTTCCTTATACCCACTGTTTGTAAATAATTGTAAATATTCCTATTGGTGATCCGGTTATTTAAATTATCTATTTGTAAGTTATTTACATGGATAATACCCACCTATAAATAAACCCCCCCCCCCATAGACGAGAGTAGATGCATGACCTTTAATGTGGTAACCTGTTCGGAGGTAACTTATATGTCAACTTGTACCTGTTTATCGAGGAACTATGTAATGTACGTAAAAAACAACAAGAAAATATATATAAACCAAAAAAAGCACAATTTATACGTATAGAAAAATAAAATAAATAAATAGATTTTCACCTGAGCGATTATTTTTTTCTGAGTGTTCGATGCAACAGGTAGGGGGGGAGATAGGTCGGTACACAGGTTGTGGGGTGAAGGTCGCCTCGCAGGTGTTGTGTCACGTTTAATTAGTTCACTTTTAGTGTCGATTGACTTAAATAGAACCTGACTAGCAGAGAGACCCAAGAGGGAGAGGACTTGGCATACCTGGAGACCTAAAAGGGTGAGGGATAATATACACGGAGACCTCGAGGACAGATATATCGAGACACAGGAAGCAACAGAGTGGACACATGGAGACTTCAGTAGCAACAGAGTGGACACATGGAGACTTCAGTAGCAACAGAGTGGACACATGGAGACTTCAGTAGCAACAGAGAGGACACATGGAGACTTCAGTAGCAACAGAGTGGACACATGGAGACTTCAGTAGCAACAGAGAGGACACATGGAGACTTCAGTAGCAACAGAGTGGACACATGGAGACTTCAGTAGCAACAGAGTGGACACATGGAGACTTCAGTAGCAACAGAGTGGACACATGGAGACTTCAGTAGCAACAGAGTGGACACATGGAGACTTCAGTAGCAACAGAGTGGACACATGGAGACTTCAGTAGCAACAGAGAGACACATGGAGACTTCAGTAGCAACAGAGGGACACATGGAGACTTCAGTAGCAACAGAGTGGACACATGGAGACATGGAGACTTCAGTAGCAACAGAGAGGACACATGGAGACTTCAGTAGCAACAGAGTGGACACATGGAGACTTCAGTAGCAACAGTGAACTTCACAGAGTGGACACATGGAGACTTCAGTAACGCAGAGAGTAGCAACAGAGACACATGGAACTTCAGTAGCAACAGAGAGGACACATGGAGACTTCAGTAGCAACAGAGGACACATGGAGACTTCAGTAGCAACAGAGAGGACACATGGAGACTTCAGTAGCAACAGAGAGGACACATGGAGACGTCAGTAGCAACAGAGTGGACACATGGAGACTTCAGTAGCAACAGAGGACACATGGAACTTCAGTAGCAACAGAGAGGACACATGGAGACTTAGCAACAGTGGAGGGACTTCAACAGAGAGGACACATGGAGACTTCAGTAGCAACAGAGAGGACATGGTTCATGGAGAGACTGTACTTCAGTAGCAACAGAGTGGACACATGGAGACTTCAGTAGCAACAGAGAGGACACATGGAGACTTCAGTAGCAACAGAGTGGACACATGGAGACTTCAGTAGCAACAGAGTGGACACATGGAGACTTCAGTAGCAACAGAGAGGACACATGGAGACTTCAGTAGCAACAGAGTGGACATATGGAGACTTCAGTAGCAACAGAGTGGACACATGGAGACTTCAGTAGCAACAGAGTGGACACATGGACTTCAGTAGCAACAGAGAGGACACATGGAGACTTCAGTAGCAACAGAGTGGACACATGGAGACTTCAGTAGCAACAGAGTGGACACATGGAGACTTCAGTAGCAACAGAGTGGACACATGGAGACTTCAGTAGCAACAGAGAGGACACATGGAGACTTCAGTAGCAACAGAGAGGACACATGGAGACTTCAGTAGCAACACATGGAGACCTGTAAATGGAGGAAGGGTGAGACTCACATTGGTCCTGATGAAGCCGCCCAAACTCTCGGGCCTTGACACCTTGTATACAGTGATGGGCACGGTGCGGTCCAGCTCGGAGTGCATGGGTTTGAGCCAGACGTGGAGGATGGCTCTCTTCACCCGGTTCCCCAGCTGCTCGTGGTTTAGTTTAAAGTAGAGCACGTCTATTTCTGGTGGTATGCGGAGTCCGGGGGGTGCTGCAAGTGAGACAACAACAGAACTGTTATTTGCACATGTGCACGACGCCAACCGCTACATGTGACTGCAATATGAGACGCACGTCATATACTGTATATATAGCGTCTGCTCTCTGCAAAAAGCTACTTATTTGGGGATTCTCAGTGTGGTTGGTGGTGGTAGGGGGTAGGTTGACGTGTGCGCTACGCCGTGTTGTGGTCACTCAGTTGAGCTTTTCGTGTAGCGACAAGGATGTGCGTCACTCACTGTCGACACACGTATGACCATCAGGATGATAATAATAATAATAATATAATAATGATATTGAGGAAAATATAAGAATAATGATAATGAGAATAAAAACATAAATAAAAAAACCAATGAGTAATAATAATAATAATAATAATAATAATAATAATAATAATAATAAATCAGGAATGAGTCAAACATAACGAACACACCTGAACAAGCAACATGAAAGGGGTGTGGAAAGAACTTGACACACTTAAAGCTGGGGAACTTGACACACTTAAAGCTGGGGAACTTGACACACTAAAGCTGGGGAACTTGACACACTAAAGCTGGGGAACTTGACACACTTAAAACTGGGAACTTGACACACTTAAAGCTGGGGAACTTGACACACTTAAAGCTGAGGAACTTGACACACTAAAGCTGGGGAACTTGACACACTTAAAATTGGAACTTGACACACTTAAAGCTGGGGAACTTGACACACTTAAAGCTGGAGAAATTGACACACTATAGCTAGGGAACTTGACACACTTAAAGCTGAGGGGAACTTGACACACTTAAAGGAACTTGGCTGGGGAACTTGACATTAACTTCTAAACACGGGGAACTTGACACACTTAAGAGCTTGGAGGGGGAACTTGACACACTTAAAAACTGGGGAACTTGACACACTTGAACTTGACACACTTAAAGCTGGGGAACTTGACACACTTAAAGCTTGACACACTTAAAGCTGGGGAACTTGACACACTTAAAACTGGGAACTTGACACACTTAAAACTTAAAGCTGAACTTGGGACACTTGCTTACACAGCTGGGGAACTTAACACTTAAAACTGGGAACTTGACACGCTGGGCTGGGGAACTTAACACACTATAGCTGGGAAACTTGACACATTATAGCTAGGGAACTTGACACACTATCTAGGGAACTTGACACACTACAGTATATCTAACGAACTTGACACACTATCTAGGGAACTTGACACACTATCTAGGGAACTTGACACACTACAGTATATCTAACGAACTTGACACACTATCTAGGGAACTTGACACACTATCTAGGTAACTTGACACAATATCTAGGGAACATGACACACTATATCTAGGAAAATTGACACACAATCTAGGGAACTTGACACACTATATCTAGGGAAATTGACACACAATCTAGGGAACTTGACACACTATCTAGGGAACTTGACATACTATCTAGGGAACTTGACACACTATCTAGGGAACTTGACACACAGAAAATGAACTTGAGTCTATGTAGAAAACTCAACTTTTGTCAACAGAAGAAACATACAGTACCGGGACCTGACGTTGTTGTGACCTCACAGCTCTGTGTGTGGTCAGGTGTAACTCAGGTAACATGTCAGAGTGCTTCCTCCATTGCACCGGAAGTCACAGACACCATATACTCACACATTCACTTCTAATTAGTATACAGGGTGTTCCGTAAATACTTTTCATAAATCACGGTGTATATTCCTGAGACATAAATATAGATAAATGACTAAATGACCAAATTATCAATAGTTTCAGAGTTACAACATATGATAGGTTTGGTATTAATATGATAAAACCTGCAGTATATGGGGTGTAAATGAAGCATCCACTGCTGTTTGTGTCGCTTTTTAACAATAATAATGTCACAAGCCATATGATTTGTACTGGGATTAACGTTTAGAGCAAATGTTCAAAGTTCCGTCCCTCTTGGTCAATGCAGGCTTCAGCCCGTCACACAAATGAGTGTCGTACACGTTCAAAGACTCCAGGGGTGTTACGAACGCTCGTCACACTTTCCTGACTCACGGTGCCACAATTCCTCATGGTTTGCGAACCTCTGTAACATGCACCTTGCTTTTTATGTGACCCCACAGGTAGAAATCAAGGAGCTTTATTTCAGGTGACCGTAAGTTTCATCACATAACTACCAAACCTGTCATGTGCTGTAACTCTGAAACTATTGAGAATTGATAATTTGGTCATTTAGTCATTTATCTCAGGAATATACACCGTGATTTATGAAAAGTATTTACGGAACACCCTGTATATATATATAGTTTAATATCACATGTATGCTTGTTTTTAAATTGCATATATGAAAACACGGGAAACGATAAATGAAAATCCGTAGAGTTGTTTTTGTGTGTGTTCAAGACGACTTGTCGGCGAGTCTGAATTAAATAATCCCCTTCACTGACGATGGACAGTTGAATTATTTTCTAATACATAAATCTAAAAAAATATTTATCGTGTTGATTTATTTTCTAATTCCACCCAGTTGTTTAACCGAGTATGGTCAGTAACACATCTCCTTACCTCTCGTGTACTGCCTTGAGTGACGGCAAACTAGCGCCAAGGTCACTTTCCCCCTTCATTATATTTTCACAATGATAAGTGAGTGTATGTGTGTAGGTTCACGTGATGACTGTGTGGGTCATGTCTACCTTGGTGACGAGTGAGGCCCCTCAAATCTGGCCACTGAATGAGTAAGTATGGAGAGCAACTTGTCGGTTTTGGCGGGGAATTAGAGCCAAGTAGATAGGGGAGGTAATGAACTATTACAGGCGAGGGATCAATGTTTGCTGTTTGTTTTTATGGTAACTACAGCAACCAGCTTCACGTGAGCCTGAGGTAGGTGCTGTAGTGTCGGGGGCGCCACGGTAGAGGAAAGTGAAGCTAGGATACGATGCTAAACCATTTATGCACTAGGTACGACCCAACCACACCTAACCATTTCAGATTGTGTTAGGATTGGTTCAGTTAGGTTTGGTTACTATAAATGACAGCATCGTAGCCTCCATCACCCGCCCTGCTGAAGGTACAGTCACCCAAAAAAGTCCTGTCGTGAACAACGAACCCCGAGATTCAGACTCGTGAACCCGAAGCAGTAGACACTGATACATTATTCTGTCCATTAATGCTTCGGATTCAAGAGTCTGAATCTCGGGGTTCGTTGTTCGTAACAGGACTTTTTTGGGTGACTGTACCATGACCCAACCCCTTTGGTGATTTAAAACGAGAAACTAAGGAAATGATAAAAATTTCTCCTTGTTTCTCGCCAGATTTACATTACGTCACTCGTTGAGGCTCAGTGCGCAGCGCGCATGCACAAAAATCGTTCTCATGCGCGTGAAAGTCGTTTATTCAAGTTTACACAGGTTAAGACTATCCAGCTTTCTAGGAAGAAAAAAATTGAAAGCTGGACCCGTCTGTTGCCACCTCCAAGTATGTTAGAAAACGTGGTTTATCTAACTCAGCCGCCCAGATGGTCCTGTGTTTAGCTGCACACCAGAGTCCATGTTGATAGTGGAGTTTCTCTCATGTTGTTGAAGGTGTTATTACTGACACACAGGGATAACACAAGGTGCTTACTCTATATTCTGTGGGAGAAAATATATTTAGGTATCTATTCGTTTATTACTTACAAGTACCTTAAACCCTCGTTAGCCAAATAAAATATTAAAAGTAGCGCCCCGTAGTGAAGTTGTTTGGGAAACAGACCTTTAGTTTATCAATACAAACATCACTACACACACACATCTTAACCCCTCCACACACACACACACACACACATCTTAACCCCTCCACACACACACACACACACACATCTTAACCCCTCCACACACACACACACACACATCTACCTTTCTCTTATCTCTCTCTCTCATATGTCGCCAACACACCTCTGTGAGTGTGCTCTGGTACCCCCCGTCTTTACCTCGTCTCCCTCATATCTCCCCTCCCTCCCCTGACGTAACTGGGACAAGGTGTGCAGTGGGGTAAGGAAGTGGAGTAAGAGGGAGCATAAGGACTGGAGGGATGGAAGGAGAGAAGGAGGGAAAGGGGGCGGTGAAGGCGGGCGAGAGGAAAGGAGAAGAAGGCAATGAGGGAAGGAGGCAAGGAGAGAAAGAGGCAGGGAGGTAAGGAGAAATTAGAAGCGGGAAGGAAAGAAGGAAGGAGGGAGGGAGGGAGGAAGGGAGGGAGGGTGGAAGGATAATTACTGCATGCCGGGGAGGGGGATGGGAAGGGTTGGAGGGCAGGTATGGACACTGGGGAGACTGAGCTCCCCCGCCGCCATGGTGAAGTGATCACTAGCCCAACTAACCCCCCCCCCCTCCCTCATAACGCCGCTTTTACCTTGTATCGTAACTCACACCGACTCACAGTTTGTTCTCATTTTCCAAGTGATAATGTCGTGACGGATCGGTGCTAATTGTCGGGGCGTAGAGGGAGGGACACACATAGGAAAGGGAGGTGTGACGTTGAAGTTAATGACATTAGTCTATGTTTACTGTTAAACAAGGACAGAGGCGCTACGACCAGACTACATGACGCCCCCTCTCCCCTCCCAGTCACCAATTTTGTTTTATGCATTCTGGTGACTATCTCTGGCGGACACACTCTGTGTGTGGTTGTGCAGTGACCAACACACACACACACACACACACACACACACACACACACACACACACACACACACACACCAGCCATCCTCCTGCCTGAGACGCCTTTGAAATATACGCAGATGAGAAAGAGATAAAAAGAGAGAGAGAGAGAGAGAGAGAGAGAGAGAGAGAGAGTCAATTCGAATTTCGGCAATATATATATAATCAGGTAATATGATCACTATACAACACCGGACCCTGGTGGAGAACAACTACAATCAAACCAACACAACGTTAAAGGGTTTATGTACAGGTGGGAAGGAACAGGTAAAGTAGCAGGGTGTTACTGTCAGCTGCTGCTTCCA